ACCTATGTTAGGGTAGCGGAAACTTTTTTCAAAATAGCTTCTGCTCAGCTATCTGTTTGGTTATTTCAATTTCAGCTGAAATGATTTACATGAAAATTTAGACATGAGTTCAATCAGTTCAATCAGTAGATGCAATGAATTTTTCATATATTGTGGTATTATACACCTGAACATTTTTGTATTTTAGCCTTATTCATGAAGAGAAGAAAATAATTTTTCAGGAAAGGCGGCGATTACAAAAACAAGATATTTAGAAGATTCTAACTTTTGAAGTATCTTTAATATCAATGCCAATAATTTTGAAATTTAAATTTATTTAATAGTTTATAACACACAATATGAAATTTCTATTAAGTCCTTCAATTGAAAAAATTTTTGAAATTTGAACTTGATTAATATAAGATTCTTAATATTGACTGTTTAACGATTCTTATTCTATTATTTTTTTTAAAGTGTATATTCACATATAATAAGGATCATATTAAGCAACTTACAATACATAAATGCATTTGTAAAAAAAATATAAAAGTAAAATATTTTTGAAGTATTATTAAAAATAATAATAAAAAAACTTTGCAAAAACTAAAAGCATATACCCACATACACACATGCATCATACATATTTAGGTTATTCCTATATTCTTTTAAACTATCTTGTGATTGATGATGACATTTATATGACGGTCCGTATATGAAGGAAAACTTATTTTATTGTCATGGGTAAAATGTCTATACTTACAAACATACATAATTTTATATTCATTTCAATTGTAAATCATTTTTAACTAGCAAATATTTAAAATATTATTTATGCAGGGACATACTATAGAAATTAATAGTGATTCTGAAGTAAAATTACCAAAGTATAATACATATATGGCAGAAAAATCTATAAATAATGGAAATTACTGATACATTTTCATAAAAGGTTTTCATGTAAGTTCAAGGTATTTAAAAGGTTCTGACATAAGTAATTTTAATTTGTATTTAAATTTAAGATTATTTTCAATGGTACTGTAAATAGAAAGTGTTATTATGGAAAGAGTTATTAAGGCGAAGAGCCTTAATAACTCTAATATAGTGGAGAAATATAGTGAATAATAAAATAGTAGAGAATACGAGTAACTCTAATATAGTGGAAAAGTGAATAATACAGAATTTTTCTCACTAAAACAGAATTGTGACGCTCTCTCTCTCATTGATTTCGGAGTTAAAAATTTCTCTTTAAACTGACATTAATTGTGTTGACATTATTGTGCACAATGCACTCCTTTTGATTTCTTGATTCCGTTGTGTAGTAAAATTTAAGAAATTTTCGTAGTTAAAAAATTTTTATACTTAAAATCAATGGTCCTTCACATATGTAACTACATAATGGTAACCACAACCTCATCATATACTTTAACACATACTACTTTCTAAAATCAAAGTAGCTGAGACGGCAATGTATCAATATTATAGAGTATATTGAATACAAGTAGATACACAAGGTTAATTGCAAAAAATATTTTTAAAAAATGATTCATACCAAGTATGTTTACATATGGTGTGTATGTAATGTATTACTAAAGTATTTTATGATAATAAAAACAACAATGAACAATAAAACACATAGTCGCATAATATTTTCATTGTTTTACCATTAAAAAAAAGGGTTCATTTATATCATTTACATCGTATGACTATATATGTATGTATTTATACATTCTCGAATATGTAATGTAGACTAGAATATTGAATTCACATGATAATATTTTCTATTAATTATACATGGCATTATTATTGAAGAATTTATTGCTACTCATACGGCATTACAAGAAACTATTTGCTGAATTTGAAAAGAGATCAATTAAGCTTTTAATTAAATGAAGAGCGTCGCTCTAATTTAGATATAATTAAAGATGAATAACAATATCATATTAAACAAATATGAACGCAAACCTATATTTTATAAGCAGGATAAAAATCCTCTGCCTGGAATCAATAAAATCTAAGAAGTTTATTGATATTGTGTGTATCTACATATTTGCATATTTCAAGGCTGAAATTTTAAGTAAGTCAAGTAAAAATGTAATTGCAACTTACACAGTTAAAATTATAAAATTTATTATGTTATTATATTTGATTTCAGGGAGCATATATTTTAAATATTTTTGAGCACAGTTTAATGAAAACATTTATAAAGCAAAAATGTTACAGGTATGTATACCATATGCATGTATACCATATCTAAATAACTAAAATTCTTCACATTCAAAGTTATTTTGTACAATAAGAACTTGACATTGCTTTGAAAATTAATTCAAAACAAGCTATTCAAGATCACCCAGTTTGCACGGAGTATTTTAAAATAATTTTATAAAGCCGAAGGCTGATCATAATAAATTTCATATCTCAATGGGTTTTACTCTTATCCGAATGATTAATTATAATTATATCTCACTCAGATGCAGATCTGAATGGATTGTATCATTTTCTTCCGAAAATGAAAAAAAAAACTGGCATACTTATTCATTGTGACGTCTTCTGATTTAATTTTATGTACTTTTAAAATTCCATATTTGTGACATAATATTTAATTTTTTCTTTCAATATTTACAATTCATGAATTTTTTTTTCTCACTAAGAGATATCGTATATTTTTTTTTTCTCTGTGTAAACATGAATTTTGACTTCTTCATCTGTCAAATTTTTATTGTGTGTATATAATAAAATAAAATAAAAAAACAACGTTCAAAACAACGTGTTCACTTCAATAAAACTTGATATCTTTGCAAACATATATAAGTATTTATTTGTAAGTTTATATTGAATGTACATAAGTATGTACAAGTATATTTTATCTAAAATATTAGATACTTGTGCGCTGGCACACATGTATATTTAAGTATATATATATGAACAATCTCATTCTAAAATATAAAGTATACTTATATTATTTATATGCTAAATTTACAAATTCATACTTACAACAAAATATATGTAAATATATAATTCAACATTATCCATTCATGATTCATGAAAAATAAAATAAATTTTCCATAAAGAAAAATAATAATAGACGAAAAAGAAACAAAAAATTATGTATGTACATTGTGTAAAAAATTTCTCTTATAAAAATATTATACTTGTCTCTTTTTAACTAATTTTTGTTTACAATATCCAAAAACGAGTATCGATTCTCGATATTAAATTCATGAGAATATTTTTATCCTCATCTCATCATATTATACATATAATATGTTTAATGCCATGCCAGAACAGAAATATTAAGAACAATTTGTTAAAGAATTATGCTACGAAACACTGACTATCCAAATGAAATATTATTTAAATGTAAAATCGAATAAATCAAATTTAAGCAACGATTAAATACGAGAGTGCACTGTTTGATGTTCATGAATTCGAAATAAGTATTACAATTAAATTAAAAGTTAAATTGTTTACTTTGGTTTTCAAGTAAAATGAAATTTTAAAGAAACCGAAAATAGTTTCAGGAAATCTGCCTCGATACAAAATTAAAGCTCTTCGTTTTAACAGAGTAACTTAAATCAGAACAACAAAGAAAAGATTACAGTTATAATTTGATTATTGTTAAGTTATCGTTGTAATCATCGATTTAATACTATTATAGAAGAATAACAAATTAGTGTGACAATAAGAATAGGGTGGACTTACTGTTAAATTAATCATTATACATAAATTAAATCATGGAACATTGTATTATGTAAAAAAGAGAAAAGATAAAGACAATGTGAGTGAAAATGAAACTCAATCGGAAAATTAATAGAATTTAGATTGGGATCGCGGATGTCAGTAATGCTGAGCACATCTAGTGATGGTAGCTGCGCTATGTTCTCTCAAGGATAAAGCAGGATTAATTTGTAGCAAAAAGAACTGTTAAATAAATACTCGTTTTCGACCTCTACAGTGGGACCACTATAACTCAAAGTCGAACGCTAAGACAGTTTGAGTTATAGAGATTTCGAGTTGAAGAGAAAAAAACAAGTTATGCTAATGTTCAAGGGAACTCATATGATTTCGAGGTAAGAAGATTTTCGAGTTGTAGAGGTTCGAGGCTCCACTGTATTTTGTAAAGCGTGATTTGCACTAAAAATTTATCCGAGAGTGAAATTAACCCTACAATATTACAAATATCTGCCTTAAATCTATTTTCCATTTTATAAACATGTTAGCATATCATAGACACATTGCTCAACATTCAACTCTATACCTATGCACATAATAATAATAACAATTATGTATGTCGTAGAGAAAGAAAAAAGCGGTTTGGCTGTTTTTTATTCGAGGTTATGACTACATTTTATCATTTTAACTATTATTTTATTTTTATTATTGTTTTGATTTGATTTTTAAGCAGTTTTTCCCTTTTTGAGTCTAAAAACTATTTCACCTTTTTTCTTTTAATTTTTCAACATTCAACAAAAAAAAAAATTCAACAAAATAATGTTGATATCCAAAAGGAAAAAAAAGTAATAAATAAAAGTAATACTTACTGAGAAAAGGCCGAAGGGAGCTCTGCTCCTATAGTAAAGTAATAAAGGAGAAATTCTCGATTCTCCCGATTTATGGAATTGAAATTTTTCACATGTACACAATTTTTTGTTTTTTGTTCTTTTTTTTTGTTTTTTTCTTACACAATTTTTTATAGGTTTCATAAACTAAAATAGTGAGTAATTTTGTCAGTTAAGTAATGCTCTTTGATTAATAAAGTTTGGTTTATTTTCCGGTTAAAGATTTTTAGTGTATAACATTAAAATTTTAATAAAAAAATAAAAAGAGAAAAATAATTTTATTTTTTACTCTCGATTTTTTTTTTGTTTAATTTTAAAATTAAATTTATTTTTCTATTTAAATTTTAAAGAGATAAGAATAACTAAGTGATTAAAGAAAATATTTTATAAAATAAAATAATTAATAATTTTAAATTAAAAATAATATTTATTAATTATAAAAATTTTTTATTTTTAATAAAATTTGTGCGGCTTTTTCGTTCCATTAATTAATTTTTTTTTTGTGGACGCTTCAGTGTTTAATTTTTTCGAGGTTTATCTCTCTTCCTCCAATATAATATTCTCGTATATTTTTAATTTTTGTGGCCTGGATATAAAAGAAAAAAGTATCATACAATTGTATATATAAAATTTTTAGAAAATTGTTAAAGATTCAAGATTCCTACACCAATCATCCATATATAAATAATAAAATAGAAGAGTTTTCGGTGTTTGACTGGTTGGTATGTATAGCTTTATAATAATTTTTTGTATAATTGTATATTTAATATTATAACAAATAAAATATATAAAAAAAAAGGGAGTTAAGAACTATATTTTGTAAAAATATCCATGTATATTCCAAAAAGAGAAAGGCAACGCGACTTTAAAATATAAATTTAGGTATAAAGTACTTGTACCTACCTACACGTTACCCATAAAATTATTTATTTTATAATTTTGTTGCTTCTTTTTCTCTAACAATTATTGTATCTACATATTATCTATACCTTGCTTCTATTTTGTTCTGTTTTAGTGTACATATCGTTTTGGAAAATCTTATATAAATATACATGTACGTATGTATAGTTATAGTTGGATACTCAAATTTTATATACATATATATAAAAGCCATATGAAAGTCACGTATTTCCTTTAAGATTATGTTTTTCCTTTTGATAGCTGCTTATTTTATTTTTTTTGGTTTTAATATTTGATTTTGAATGACATAAGAAAAACGTTTATTACTTTGGTCATACATAAATAAATTTTTAATATACAAATTATAATTAATCATTTATATATGAAATTTTGCTAAGTTCATAAAATTTTGTTGAATTAATTTTATTCTCTGGTGGGACTATAGTCGTTTATAGTATAGAATTTTAATGAAAATTTAATAAAATCAAGAAATTTTGCTTTGCACTATGGTGTAGATGTCATAGTTTTTTCGGATCACGGATGAATGATGTTGTCATATACTTAAAAGAATAATATTGTAATAAGAAGTAATTTGACATTCAATTTTCCGCATTTCGGATAAATTATAAAACATAGAACAATATAAAATCTAATTAAGATTTGAAAATTTGCAAAATTAAGTTTAAAGTTTTAGAATTTTATAATATATGATAAATTATAAATGATTTATTAGAAAAACAGAGTTCTAATCACAAATTATTAAATATTCAGTTTAATTTGGGTCTTATAAAATATTGTAAAATGCAGAATGGAGGTTGACGCACAGTAAGATTTCAAAACTATAAAAATTATAAAATATAACATAAAACAAGAATTATTTCTTTCATTTGTGCTCCTATTTTAGAAAATTTACGCTACACACGAATAGATATTCGACTATTTTACACGATATAACAGACAATGTAACACGAGTTACATTGTAGACCTCAGTCGTGTAATTACAAGGTGCTTGTTATAATTCCAAATTTATAATTAATAAAAAAATTATATATTTTATATATTTGTGTGTATTTATAAGTAAATCAATTATTTCATATGTAAGTAATATGCTTATGTACATACAATTGTATATCATATAATGAAAAATTCTGTGTATACTTAAGAATTGATTTTAATTTAATATTTTATTAACGTATATCATCACCCCATCAAAAAAAACTGATTAAATACATATTGTATTTTCGTATACATACGAGCATATATATACATACAATGTATATATACATAAATATAAAATGAATAGGAATTTTTTAATAATTCGAATCTTATAAGGAATATACTTAATATGTAGTTATGTACACATGTATGAAATAAAATAGAATATGTATGTATATATATATTATACATATAATACTTGAAATATACGTACTCAAATTTCATATATAATGTATGAATGTATTATGTATGTATATTGAACTTGAAAAAAAAATATATGGGTACCTACTTCAAAAAATAAAAAATGTCCACCTGTTAAGAAAAATATTGATTGAATGTATTCTTAGTTCTTATACAACATTATTAAACTGATGAAATATTGCGTTCAGGATAATCAAAAATTTATAAGAAAAAATAAGAAACATAAAAAAAAGGAAGAATATAAATCTACAGGTGATTTTTTTTTTTTTTTTATTATTATTTTTTTTTTTATTTGCTTTGCGGCATTTCAAATTATTTTTGTATTTTTTAATATACTTACTTGACTTAACATACAAATGTATGTCACTTGTATAACAGACAGGCATAATATATTGTATATCGTAATATATTTTTATATATAGTTAAATATAATTTTGCAACATACATACATGTAGGTACTATACGAATAATATTGCATGTAATTATTACAACGTAAGCAAATATTTAGTTTAGAAACATCAGAAATAAAAAAAACTAATTTGTGCTTATATAATTAATTTAGAGGAGAAACCACAAATATTTATTTAAAAAATTATTTACTTATGTAAATTACATATAACAAGTGTTTTTTCTCTCGTCTTAAATAAATTGTCATTACATTAACTGTTATATATATACACTTATAGTCGTATTATAAGTATATATAAAATTATAGGAGATTAGATTAAAATTATGTCTTTGAATTAGAATTTTTTATGTGATTCTGTAGTATAATCATGTAATTACATATATTACTTACATTTAAAAAAATATCACCGAAAATACATAATATAATTTTCCTGCATATAATGAAAAGTTGGTGGACATTATGTAATTATAAATTTAATTGAAATAATTATGAATGTAAATCAGTTTTGAAATTATAATTTTTTTATTAAAATTTTACTTATTTATAAATTTATATTTTTGAAGAATTATTTAATTTTTGAAGTATTTTACTGATTGTTTGTAAAACTATCAGTTTTTTTGTAATTATAATTTGATATAATAAGACAGACGACTAATTTGATAGTAATTTATAGTTAAAATTAACCGTATATTAAGATTTTTAAAATTAAATTTTCCAATCAAATGATCTGAAAATCATACTCATATAAGTAAGTGGCCCTAAGTTGCCTTAAATTGTAATCACATTGATATCACTTATATATAGGCAACATTTATTTGCCAAGAACAGAAAATAATTTAAAACAAGTTGTTATTAAAAGTAAAAATCTCTCTATATATTAATATTTCTGATTAGTAATTTATTATATATGTAGTAAATTTTTACTTTATTCCGCTTATTTTAGAGGAATTGTAGTCAGTAATAATAAATGAAATGGAATTAATTGGAAAATAATTCCCCGTTTGTAAAATATCTTCAATGAATTTTGAAAAATTCTAATACATATACTTACTTATTGTATGAAGAGTTTTCCCCGGTAGCCATTAACGTATAATACCACAGCAATTTTTTAATTTTAAATACAAATTCTCCAAAAAAAAAGTTCTCAAAATTAATTTTATTCTAAACTTCTAAAAAATTTTCAATTTTTAATGAAAACATTTATACTTTAGTCATTAGTGAACAGGTTAATATTATTTTAATAAGTCACTTTGGGGTATTCAAAATATTGTTAGTGTATAAAAAAGTAAAAGTTATTAAACTAAGTGTTTTATCGTTAATTATATGTATATATATGTACATAGTTTATACTATTATCTATTATTTTCTTTAATAATTAATATTTTCAATAAAGTCATTAGTGCATACTAATAAGTTATTAATTTAAGTATTAATACAAAAATTTTATATTATTTTACGTTATAATGATAATTGACTAAGATGTAAACAATTTATGTATACAATGTTCAAATACTTTTTTGTATACATATAATAATTTCTATGTATTATTCATATTTAAAGCAAAGTTGTATGTACACTTCAGTATATTCTAGTGATTGCTGCTAGAGTATAATCTATATGTCAAAATATCTTTGAAGGCACCCGTATTATATATGTATATAGAATTTAATTATACAAACCTAAAAATTTTGGTTATTTGGGACAAAAACTTTAGAAAACAAAAATGTTCCCAAATAATTAAAATTTTATCATTTTCATTTTAACCACATGTTTTGTTTTATTCTTGTTTTTTGTGTTCTTTTAAAAATTTTATTACATAATGTTATAAGATATAAGTAGTGATCAAAAAATATAACAGTATTTTATAAACTGTTTCACGATAAAATACCTATAATATATTTATTAAAAATTAATTGAGTATACTTATTTAAAATTTGTTTTGGTTAGACAAAGATTTTTATGATTGTCGTATTTGTTATTGAGAAAGAAGTTTTATACACCATAATGAAAGTATTACAATAATTTTGTAAAAATTGTTAATATCTGGTTATTATCGCCTGCTTATTGCTGAGAAAAATGTTTGTTAAAACTTGAGTACTGTTCATGTTTTTCATAATATTTTTGTGAATTCATTTTTGTCAATTTTTCATAATTTTATAATCAACGAAATAATAAATTAATTAAAAATTTTAGAATGGTGTGATTTATCGTTGTTATACAATTTAAATTAAATTACTTGCAACTTTAATTGCTTACACATTATAATATTAATTTGGGAAGTTTGAATAAGCATTTCTTAATATTTTAATGTACATATGAACTTGGAATTAAAAAATAATATTACTTAATATTAATCCAACTTTTTCCCACAATTTACTAATATTGTTATATTACAAAAACCGAAACATTTTATACTCTTCTACTTATAGGAAATTGTGATTCAAATTTGCAATTAAAGTATAAGTATACACTTTTATTATTTTAAAATATTGAAATGCTCATATTTATTGCTTACAATATTATAATTAACAACAAAATAACTAAAGAAAAAATAATTAAGTTTAGAGTTACAAGCCACAAAATTTGACACTTTATATATTAAAAAAATAATGTCATTGTACTCATAAAATATGAAATATTTGAGTTAAACGCGTTTCATATTAAAAATTAGAAATTAAATTAGGAAAATCTAGTATCTAGACAACTTTGATAGACGTTGTCTATAAGTTTTAAATTTTCCATTTCATTTTAATAATTAAATAATTTCGTTTACAAAACATAATTTTGATGTGATATGTTTGTATAATTAAATTTCTAGTTGTATATATACATATATGTCCATATACATATATATATGTATATATGAGAGAACCGCAAAAAAATTTACATATTTCATTTACTATTATGCATAAATTTCATTTTATTGTTATATGATTTGAATTAAAAGTAAGAGAGAATACATAGATTTCATAGAAAATATTATTGTAGCTATTTTGG